CTCTATCAGACTTGGGGGGAAACAGCAGAAACTGGGGTTGGGACATATGGAGGGGTGCTTGAAGAAAGGGATGGGGAGAGGAATGCTCAAATATTTTAATGGTTTTTGCTCATATTCCATATATTTTGTGAAATTTGATATTTTTTTCCAAAAACAGAGGGTCGGAGGAGGTCGGCCCGGCGCCTAAGACTAGGTTCCCGACTCTAAGATTCTACTCGGGTAGTATTTGAAAAATTATTTTATAATTAATTAATATAGAAAAGGGAAAAGAGAACGGTTTTGTATTCATTGCCTAATGCCTATAGTTTAAACACTTGCACACAATTTATCTTCGCATTATCCTTTAGTTTACAAGGTTACGTCTTGCACGGTATAATTGCTTCATACTTTACCTTTCCGTTCTTGAATAATAATAATAAGCATATTTCTGCAGAAAATATGGCAGAAATTAAACCTTTCGGTCGCAAGGTATGTTTAAGATTATTTTTAGAATGATAAATATCATGTAGTTTTGTTCAGTCATTCCATATTTGTACACGTGATCAATAATCATAATTGTTTTTGTTAAATAAAACTAATATTTATTATAAAAGATTTATGTAACTTGATGTTTTTAAAACCGGGTACACTTTCGCTTATGCGTAAGTGAAATGTGTTTTCATTTCGTTAAGACAGTGTCGGACTTATTAGTGTACCAGGCATTGACAGGCACAAACATACTTGTTTCAAGTGCTGATCAAGCATACCGTCATAAAACACTTGTGTTTTAATCATTACTTTTTTCTAAACAGTTTTTTACTGAGACTTCAACAAGTGGTACATTTCAATGTCGCCGAATATTAAGGAAAACTATGGAAATCTTGTAAGTTCTAAAACCCTAAAAATCCGCAAATTATTTTGTGAAATTCCGCAACTTCTTTTAATTTGAAAAAATGAGCGCTCAACCTTTACACGCGAAAACTCCTAATTTCGGAGAGGAGGTTTCATTTTTTTGTATTTCATTACTTATTTAAACTATTTTTAAAAATATTTATCGATTTTTAATTCATACTTTATAGTTGTTCGGACACACGAGATCGCCTAGTATGGAGTTCAAGGAGCTTACTAAGAAGGATGCCCAGATCTCACTCGCGCACGAACTCGAGAAGTTGGCGCGCACTGCCAATACTGGAGAAAGAGAGGTATATCATTTTTCCTTGTAAGGTTTACTTGTGAGGATTACTAAAAATTGTGAATATTTGATATTATTTAAATAATACTTAATTTATGAAAGGTGATCGAGCGAGATTTCGATGGATTCCAGCGCTTGTTCAGCAAGTTCATCAATGAAACTGGACCCTCCGTTCATTGGGACAAGATTGACAGATTACCAGAGGGCGCGGTAAATTATTGATTTTTCATCTTATCGCTATAATTTACTATTTAGCCGATTTATCTTTACAAAACTTAACAGAAAAAAACGCAGGTTTAATACTTTTATGAGTTCTCCCCCTACCAACTTCCGTTTTGGAAGGTGGTATAGCAAGGGGATGAAAAATTGTTATCTTTAGATCTTCAATCTTAAACTTAGGCTTATTGAATCGGAAATTGTACGTAGATTTTTAAATTGGTCTCAATCTTAAAAATCCGATTACAAACAAGTCTGTACAGTGTACACCACTATTCTTCAGTTTTTTGGGCGGCACCTTGTATATTATACTTTTTAATCGTGCATATTTGGAAATGAATTTTTTCTTATTGCTGTTTACGTCCTTGCCCCAGTTAACACGCAAGCCCGGTGTTTAATATGTTTCATAATTAATCCTTCCTTGAATTGTTTTTGAGCTTGGACTTGTAAACCCATATTAACTTTAATTTAACTAGAAATGTGAAAACAAAAATGTACTTGGTTTCCTCAATGAATATTGAACATAGTTAAATTATTATTTATATATTTCTGAGCTTGGTCGGGTTTTTAATTTTCCTTCCATTTCCCCCATTTATCTGTCTGTTTAAAGAACTAGAATGTTAATGAACAATTGTTTTCTGTTTAGATCAAGAACTATAACGATCTGACCGTCAGCACTGACAAAACCGCTGTACAGCAGATGCTTAACAGTTTGGTTGTTATAAAACTAAACGGTGGTCTAGGGACCAGCATGGGTTGCAGGTATCAAATATTAAGTTTGCTTGTTCGAAACGTCTGTAAATCTAATTATACCAAAAAAAGGCGTACAGTGGAATTGTCCCTGGGGGGCTTAAATATTTTTGATGTTCCGGGATATTCCCCTGAAAACCATAGTTTTTTTACTCTTTCAGAACAGATTCATACAGACAGAAACAATAAACAGCATATTACCCTGATCTGGAATATTCAAAATGTGGTCTGCTTTAAGTTGCATCAGAATTTAACATGTAGTTCTAAATTGTGTATTACTACATTATCTATATATTCAGCGGTCCTAAGTCTGTGATTACAGTGAGAAATGATCTAACCTTCCTTGATCTGACAGTTCAGCAGATTGAATACCTCAATAAAACATACGATGCTAATGTTCCTCTTGTCCTCATGAACAGGTAGATTGTTTTCTTCTCTCACTTCAACTCACTTATGTATTTGAACAAATTCAGTCCAAACTCCTACCCACTTAACATATTCCACGCACCCCCCCCCCTTTAAAGGTCCAGTGGGTACTGCCTCCTTCCCCCCCCCCCCTCTGTGTACATCCTTGCTAAGTTTGTGTTCTTGATTAGTATTTTATTGTTTTCAGTTTCAATACAGATGAGGATACAATGAAGATCATCAGGAAATACAGCGGATTCAAGGAACAGATTTATATATATGTCATTATTGTACACAGTACACATTCATACACTACACGTTTACAGTGTACAGTGCTTTGTACATGTCTGCTAAATTAAAAATATCACAAATTAAATCATTCGGTGAATTGTTGTCAAGATCGGGATTTTAAGAATCCAACAACTAAGTTCCCAGCTCAGAAATTATATAGAGGATAAATATAATCTGATTGATTAGGTTTCTATTAAAACATTTAATCAATCCCGGTTCCCAAGGATTCATAAGGAATCTCTCATGCCTATTGCGAAAAGTATTAGGTTAGTAAATTTTGTTTATTTTGACTTGATTTTGATTGTACCGGACCAAACCTTATCAATGCCATTGAGTTGAATACTTGATATTCCCTGGAAATATGCACTTTATTTTGTAAGTTTAATTAGTTTTTTTAATATTAATATGCACTTAGTGGTAAACTTAATTCCAACTATTAAACGATTTGGAATATATTGAATATATATATTTTTAATATTTAGACCTGAGGATGATATGGAGGCCTGGTATCCTCCTGGTCACGGAGATTTTTATCAAGCATTCGCCAACAGTGGACTTCTTGATGAGTTCGTTTTACAGGTGGAAATAAATATGTTTAACTGATGTTTTTAGATTCATCATTTTTTAAGTCTAACAATTATGGTCGATAAGACCCCTTCCTAGTTAATTTGATGGGATGTTATATTACTTGTTTGTTCATTACCGCGCTCTGTATGTTTTTGAGGATAGATTGGTCTTTAGAATCCTTGGAGAAGTTGAATTGCAGTAGTTGTCATGCAGTGCTTGTAGATTATTTAACCAAAAAATTAAAAACTTCAATAAGGCTAGAATGAGTAACAGAATCCAAACTAAATTCTTTGTTATGTTTTCGTTCTAATCCTTTCAACTATATTTTGTTTTGTAGGGGAAGAAGTTTTGTTTTATCTCCAACATTGATAACCTGGGAGCTACAGTAGACCTGAATATTCTCAACACCTGCTTATCCCAGAATCACGAGTTCGTTATGGAGGTTACAGATAAAACACGAGCTGATGTTAAGGGAGGTACACTCATCAACTACGAGGGTAAACTGAGGCTGCTGGAGGTTGCCCAGGTCCCGAAGGAACATGAAGAGGACTTCAAGTCTGTAAAGAAGTTTAATGTTTTCAACACAAACAATCTTTGGATTAACCTTGACTCTATCCAGAGGATTATGCAGGAGAATACACTGGATATGGAGATCATCGTTAATCCTAAAAGTTTAGGTAACATATACCAATATTTATTATTGGTTATATTTGTCTGGAGACTGTATTTATCTTCCTTATAATAGCCTGGAGACTGTAGTATTTATCTTCCTTATAATAGCCTGGAGACTGTATTTATCTTCCTTATAATAGCCTGGAGACTGTATTTATCTTCCTTATAATAGCCTGTAGACAGAGTGTAAAGTGGTTAACATATATATTATTGTTCAGATAAAGGTGTGAATGTATACCAGCTTGAGACTGCTGTAGGAGCTGCCATGAAATGTTTTGAGAACTGTATTGGTATCAATGTTCCTAGATCCAGGTAGACCACTCCCTACACAATATATGTTTTGAGAACTGCATTGGTATCAATGTTCCTAGATCCAGGTAGACCACTCCTCACACAATATTTCTTCGGTCACAGAAAGCTTAGTTTAGAGCGAGATATACTAGACAGTAGACCAGATATACCAGACACTAGACCAAACAAACTAGACTGGACAGTGGACATACTTGACGCTTGACTTGACAATAAACTAGACTTGATAAACACTGACTAGACTTTCCAACCTGACTAAATATTTTGTTCCAGGTTTTTACCAGTAAAGAAGACAAGTGATCTGCTGCTAGTGATGTCCAACCTGTATTCATTAGATAATGGTTCTCTAGTTATGTCACCTAAGGTTAGGAGCCTGCAACATATTATTATTTTGAGTATACACTAGTTCTACATAAACTAATAGTTTTTTACAAACTTATTCATAATTGTTTCCTTTCTAGAGAATGTTTCCCTCAACACCCCTGGTTAAACTTGGAGATAATCATTTCAAGAAGGTTTCCCCATTCTTATCCAGGTACACAGTACAGTACATACTTTACAGTACACTACAATTTACACTGTACAGTATAAAGTGTACTGTGTTCAGTGTACACTCTTACACTGTAAAAAGATCATATTTCATAGTTTACAGTTCAAACATCATTGTAGTAAACATTGTTTTCTCAACATTTATAATAATCAATGAATTAATAATTATTTAGGTTTGGATCTATTCCTTGTTTGCTTGAACTAGATCATCTCACAGTATCAGGAGATGTTACCTTCGGTAGAGGAGTCAGTCTCAGGGTTAGTTCAGTTAGATACATTTAATCCATATATATAAATAGCTATAGTGCCCGGCTTTTTCCGTGGAACTTTATCTAATTTTATCTAATTTTTTTTTAAATCTATTTTTAGCCTATGTTACCCCCAGGGTACCCATGGGTTCCTGAAAAATCAGCCAGTTCGGTCCAGCCGTTTGGCCAGTTATAACTAACATATATACAAATATACAGATATATACATGTGAGCGAAATATTAGTTTCCAGACAAGGCTGTATACTAGCCAGCAATTTAATGATTTAGTTTCAATCAATAAGTTACAGTTAATTGAAGACTACTATAAAATAAGATGGAATACGTTTTATAAGTATTTGCAATTAATTATATGAATAAAAATGTATTACAAGTATATATTTAGCGGATTATTAACACGTTTTATGAACAGTAAACACTAAAACCTGTGAAAACTTAGTATTTAAAAATAATTTTCATATTTCAGGGAACTGTAATTATCATTGCAAATCATGGAGACAGGATAGATATTCCTTCTGGAGCTATTCTTGAGAACAAGATTGTTTCTGGAAACCTTAGAATCCTGGACCACTAGCCAGTAGCCACCTCACTAGCTCACTGGACCACTAGCCAGTAGCCACCTCACTAGCTCACTAATAAATAGAAATTAGAAAATAAAATGTTTATTGTCTATATATAATATACATGTCTTTATAGATCCCTCTAGCTTCAAGAATACCCAATAAATCTTTGTTAAAACCAACAAAAAAGGAATTTTCTTCGGAGATTTATACGTAAGTGTATGATGTGTCCACTATGCAATAAAATATGTTCTTTTTATGCCATATATGCTTGTTAAACATATTTACTATTATGTTTATGCAAATACCACATAGTTTACATTTTCTAATTCTTTCAGTTTATCAAACCAGAATATATGATAATCTTGTTATTTTATTATTCGTTTTATTTTACAATAAAATTTTAATCTTTAACTCAGTATTTGTTGTCAAAAGAGAATATTGTAAAACTTGAATACTTGAATGTTTCCTTTAATTCCTCAAGTCCAGTTTAATGGTTGAAGTTTGCCAGTAAATGTTAAGTTTATGTTACATTCTACATATTCTGCATGAATAAAAACAATTTCTTTCTTATGTAACCCAAAATTTGCAAGCTTTCCTAAAATTTCCGAACAAAAATATCACTACTTGGCTATACAGGAGAATAATCAAGCATTATTAAATGTTCTTAGTTGACGCTTTTTGTTTCGTATTACAGGGTCTTTCATAAAGGATGAGACTTTAACAACAACTAAAAACTTGAACATAACGATCTGTAGGTTTATATGGAATTGTACCTTGAAAATATTCATCCTGTGTTGGTAACCCAGTACTAATATTCTTTAATAAGGTTGTTGACTCTCGATGTGCGGAAAATGTCTCCTAAGATAGGTAAAAACCTAATATGACTTCAATGATTATAGAGGCGAGAGTGACGTCATATATTGTTTTGTTATCTACGCTTAGGAGACGACATTTTCCGTACATGGGAGAGCATCGAGAGTAAGCAACCTTATCATACAACCAATTACACTGCACATTAAAGCAAGTGTTAAAACTATGTTGGATTATTATGTGAATTTTATCAAAAGTTCTCAAGCTAAGTTTGGACATTTAAATTTGTTAGTTCTAACATTGTTTTGACTTAATTTTAAACAACAGAGAGACTCGAAATGAAAATGAGGAACCTAAGTCGAATTTCTGCACTAAATAAAGCTGTCGTATAAACTGTATTTTTATATATATATTTTTTTTTTTTGAGGGGGCGGGGCTTTAATATCAGAAAGATAAGATTTCTGGGGGTTAGTAATTTTGCATTTTACAGATGGATTGGTAGAGGTACAGGGTGTCCCACGAGACATGACAGTTGGTGAATACTTTAAAATGTCTCTTTCCATAACTTGATAAGTTGTTTGATACTAAAGAGGCTAATAATTTTTTTATATGACAGGTTGTATCATGGTAAAATTGATTTCACAGTAATATATGAGTTAAACATTTTTTTAAAGAAATGAACTGCAAAATGTCTTTAATATCTAATACAGTATGTGGAAGAAGTCATTCAAAACTATTCACCAACTGTCATGTTTTGTGGGACACACTGTACATTGTACAATGTTCTTAATATTGGATTTCTCTGTACATAATGTACATAATATTGGATTTCTCTGCACATAATGTACATAATATTGGATTTCTCTGTACATAATGTACATGATATTGGATTTCTCTCAGCTCTTTAGAATAGAGAACTAAGATTAATCTTTAATGAAGTGTTTCGCGATAAATAGGAAAATGCAATATGATTTTTTATGAAATGCAACACATTTTATAGCTTTCCAATGACATTTTGATATACCCCCCTTTTTCATCCTCCTGCAGTCCCACCCCCTTTATTCCATCCTCCCTTGTCCTCTGTATGGGAGGTTGTGAGGCCGCGTGTGTGTATAAACCTACCCCTGTTTCGAGTATAGAACCAACCTCTCATTCAACAATACGTCCTCCGTAATCCTCCTTTATCATAATAAATCTCGTTCTAGGCTTAGGACGGCTTAGTTCCGCCTGGTTCTGTGTATTTATGTTCTATTCCGAGGAATTAAGTACAGTATTAATCAGTGCTTATGTCTATTCTATATAAGAGGTGATATGTATACAATTTTGTATAGTATACTACCAGTTACAATACACACTAAACCATCTTGAATTTAAAAAAAAACTTTATTTGTCAATGATTTTTTTCAGTTTAAATTTCTGAGATTTTTCTATAAATATTTATTATATATTATTTGATTCTTAAATAGGCTAACGTATAGATAGATAGATAGATAGATGCTAAAAGACTTGTTGCACATCACGCCTCCTTCAAACAACCTTGATTAGACTATATAACCAAATACAGGGTGTCTCACTAAACATAGGAATTAAGTAAGGAATACAAAGTCGTCTTTGTTAATGATTAGCGCTCTAAATTACCTAATTTAAATGGCCATAAAGTTACGGCTTGAATATGTTTCATGTTAATGGTATAAGGTTGTTTTGTTATTCTGCAAAACGTTGAATAATGGAATTTCTCATTTTACTAAGTACAAAAGTATGCAATCAAAACATAAACAGACAAATTTTTAACTCTTGCTTAGACGAAATTTCTACGGATTACACTGAACCTTGCTGCATCATCACCCACCTCACTAAATAAAAAAATCATTTACAAAGACAATATCTAAATCGTCACTCCATTACCATGTATATATATTTGGGGAGAGAAATACAGATTTCTCTAGCTGTGAACAAAGGGTAAAAATGAAATACAGGGTTACCCACAAAGGACGAGACTGTAAAGAAGACATGAAACTCTTTAAATATGCCGATTCAAAATCTAAATCAAGTCTTCTGCCTTGAATGTGATTTTTAAATGGCTTATTCGATGATTTGGCAAAGAAAAGAAAAAAGTTTTTAGTTGCATTGAATTATGAATATAAGGGAACAGACACTATAAATTCGTCTCTGAAGTCTCATTCTTTGTTTGTAACTCTGCATAAAAACAAAATAATCAGATTTGGAGAGAGGGTTGACAAAAGTTAAATTTACAAAAATAATAATTAAAAATACAACTTGAAGTTAAGAAACACTGTAATAACTATTTATAACACTGTTATTTTGGTTCGCAGTATTATAAAGTTTTTGGACAGAAATTTTGCCTTTATCGAGAAGGTTCAAGCCTTTTTAGATTTAATTTTGTCCCGAGCTTTAGCGAGGGACAAAATATAATCTAAAAGGCAGGAACCTTCGAGATATTAAGAAAATTTAAGTCTAAAAACTTTATAGCACGTCGTGCCAAAATAATAGTGTTATAGGTAATTTTATGAAACGCTTGTGTACTTGTCTTATGAGTCTTATTTTATGGCTCTTTTAAATGAAATTAGCTTTGAAACAAATCAGTAGTCAAAACCCTTTCTCTGGTCAAAACATAAAGTTGATTTCAATTTTATTTTCATTTCAACTGAAAAAAATATTTTGGAAATATCCTAAATTTGTTTAAGAAAGTCCGGCAACCAAAACTTTATAGCACGTGTGCTATAATAATTTGAACATTATAGCACGATGATTACTTTATAGCACGTTCACTATGAAATTCACGAGTAAGAATTACACAATAATTTCATAAAATCATAATTTTTTACTCATTACTGTAAATATTGCTTATAAAAGAGAATGCCTTGAAAAAAATAAATCACATTTATTTCTGTAAAAATGGAATATTTATGGTATAATGAATTAAGCTAACGAAATATTATTTATAATTCATAATCCTTTCCTAAACCAAACCTGTACAATCCGGATCGAGGAACCCATACAGTAACTCCTTAAAAATTTATTATTTTGAAATTCCTTCGTTATTTAGGCCACACAACTTTCCTTTATTCGTGATTTAGTGCATTAAACAAAGCAGTATTCAAGCCTTCACCTGCCCCTTCATTTGTTTATAAAATTCAAATTGGAAAAGTTTTAATTTTTGAAAATGGCGTGGATACATGTTGTACAATGCAATATATTTTAGTCATGAAACTTGTATAGTTTAGTAATGAAACAAGATTCAAAATAAACAAATCTAAAGGAACTGTAGACGTAATGTTAAATGACCCTCCATATATTACAGTGCCATGTCTGATTCTCGAAGATACTCGTTAAAACTTATTTAAGAGATATTGCGTATTTTGGTCTTCCCCCCCGGAAGAGTATCAGAGGAGCATTTAGGGAGGGGGGCTAATGAGGTAGCCCCTTCCCCTAATGGGTGCTGAGCTGAACCCCCTGGAGAATAAAAATTAAGCCCCCCCCTGGACAAATTCCTTAATACGCCCCTGAAGTGTATGGTTTCAGGGGTTTAGAAAATCATCGCATTTTCGTATTTTCAAGAGGAAACATATGTTTGCAGGAAAAATGGAGGAAAGAGATGTTGAAGGATTTGTGAAAGAAGTTGATGAAGAAGGGTTCCATAAAGATATGGATGATGAAATTAAAAAGAAAAAAGAGAGACAGGTTAGCACTGATACATAGAAACCATTTTAAGAATATTCATAGAAGTTGATTTCATAATAATTATAATAAAAGTTTTGGTGCCTAGGTTCTATGTGTGCATCAGGAGGAAGTCGTTTTCGGTTTTTCGGCAAAATGTTGAGTTTTGTTGAGGATTCGATCCCAAATTTACTTTATGATCCGTGTAGAGGACCACAATGCATGCTGAATTCAAAAGTTCAGCCTTTTATTTTATTTTTTAGAACTAAATGCAGCTTCTACATAGTTTGATATCACAAAGTGTCGAATTGTCCCCCCTATCCATAACAAAATCGAGATGTTTTCCTAAACCTACTTCCACCCAAGTTCATCACGTTAAAGCAAAAAATATTTTGCATTTCAATACTAAGGGTTGACATCACCCAGAGAACCTAGTGAACCTATGCAGCTTTTGATTCATTACTTTTACTTCTTCTTGTATCACCCTAAATTCTACACTCCACGCGCGGGCAGCCGTAGTACATTTAAATTTCCAAGCCGGGTCAACCTTTCCGGTCCCAGTTTGTACTGTACCTAGCATCTATGTACAGGACTAGCCGGTGCTACAAGGTTGACGTGGTCAGTTTTTATGCTTCATATAGGTTGAATTTACTTTTACTAAAGGGGCAGAGGTGCGTGAATTGATAGTTATAATTTTCAAGAACATTAATTATTTATACATAAAAAAGAATATAATCTCTTGCTAATTGTTTGTCTGTTTGGATTCATAACTCATCCCAAGCTAGTATCTATTTATATATAAAGCTGATTACTTTTACTTCTTCTTGTATCACCCTATATTCTACACTCCTCCCTATCAAACTGTGGAATGAGGAGACAACATTAAATTGATTTAAAAGTATATTTTCATATTGTTAAAAAGCAATTAGTATCATCTAGTTTATTCAAAATCAACGGATTAAGTGAAATAGGAGGTAATCGATTTTGGACTTTTTTTGGAGTTCAGCTAATCAAAAGTTCATAGAAAACACATGTAAGTTTGTCAAATTTAGGATAGGCTAAAAAAAATTACTATAATAACAAAATAATTTTTTTTTTGAAAATCTCATGTTATTCCTCATTTTATGCTTAATTCAATTTTCCAAACCATCTTTAAAAAAACGTTGAAATTTAAAATGAGTCAGAAAACGAAAGTCTTCCAAAAACTTTAAATAGATAAAATTTTCAAAAATTGACGTGCGACTCGAAATTTAAAAATAACGTTTTAACTATGCAACAATTTTTTTATTTCTTTTTTTGGACAATTAAAAAAATCCAAAATCGAGTAGTTTAGAGCACAATGCATAAAAAAATTCAGCTTAAAAGTTATTATTGTATTCCACTGTACAATATCTATATACGAATTCAACCTCGTGAATAAGCTCAGATTTTAAAAACGTTGCTAAGTTAGACTTCAGAGACGACTGTACGATATGCATTACTGTCTGTTTCCTTATATTCATTATTCCCTGCAACTTCAATTTTGTTTCTTTCTTTGCTTAATCATAAAATAAGCTTTAGAAAACTAAATTCAAGACAGACTTGGGATCATCGTTCGTTAAGATTTATATGTTGTCTTTGCAGTCTCATCCTTGGTGGCCAACCCTGAACACACTAGATTACACATAAAGGATGAGACCCAAACCCCTTTAAATATGACGATTCGATTTGGTCTTCTGTTTATAGCATTTTAATGATTTACTAAATAATTGGGCAAAGAAAAAAGTTTTTTTTTAAATCCATTACATTGCATTCTCAATAAATCCGTACAGTCGTCTCTGAAGTCTCATTCGTTGTGGGTGAATCTGTATTTAATTAACATTTCATGATCAGCATGTTTGCATAGAACATTATTAAATAAATGATTATTTAAGGGTAATTTCCAGAATCCCTTTCATTTGTAAATAATTGCTTTTTGGATCCAATTAATTGACATGGCCGGGACATACTTTATAATTGTATTTGATTTAACCCTTATTCCTATATATTTACATAATTTTAGCAATAAACACCGCTTATATATTTACATAATTTTAGCAATAAACACCACTTATATAATTACATAATTTTAGCAATAAACAGTTGGGGTTCTGAAACACATTCTTGCCCTTAAAAACGAGCAAAAGCACTTTTGCTCGTTTTCTGCCTTAAAAAAGCGAGCAAAAGGACTTTTGCTCGTTTTCTGCCTTATAAAAAGCGAGAAAAAAGGACTTTTGCTCGTTTTTTGCCTTATTTAGAGTACTTTTGACGTGTATTTGGTCTCCCTGTTTACAAATGCAAAAATTATTCAACATTTGTGTGAATTACTTCTCCAGAATTCTAGTTCTTATTCTGATAAAATCTAAAGAACATGAAACAGTAATTTTTTTACTAAAATTACTCTGGTGTTGTTTGTAATAAAACTTAATTTTCCTACCTAAATTCTAGACTGTGTTCGAGAAATAGGTGTATATCTAGATATCTATATGATAAAATAAGACATTCGTAAATATATATATATATATATGTTGCGTATAGCCGGCCAAACGGCTAAACCGATAAGGCTGAAATTTTTTTGTGGACACTCATGGGTGGCCGGGGGTGCTTTAGGCTAAAAATCGAATTTTTTTAAACAAAATTTTCAAAATATTTTTTCAAAATTTAAATTTTTTTTTTCAACGGTCCTTCATCTAGTTTTTATACATAACGGGGTTGGGCCCTTCATCTAGTTTTTATATATAACTTTTATCATATTCACTAGAATTAGATTTTTCTGGATGATATATTGTTGTGATAGTAATAGCTTTCATGATACAGTAGAAATAAACAGATGTTTCTAGACGATATATCACAGTGGTAGCAATATATATTTTTATATTCATTTTGATTAGACGTGTCTGAACGAAATATTACAGTGATTACAATATCTAGCATTATCTTTTATTTGATTAGATATCTCTGGGCGATAACAGTGATAGCAATGCTTATCATTATATTCAATTTGTTTATATGTTCCTGGACGATATATATTACTGTGATAGAAATGCCTATTACTATATTCAATTTATTTAGATGTTTCTTGACGATATATATTACAGTAATACCAATTCCTATCATTATATTTTATTTATTTAGATGTTTCTTGACAATATGTATTACAGTAATAGCAATAACTATCATTATAATCTATTTATTTAGATGTTTCTGGAAGATATATATTACAGTAATAATTCAATTTATTTAGATGTTTCTGGACGATATATATTAAAGTGTTAGAAATGCCTATCACTATATTCAATTCATTTAGATCTTTCTTGACGATATATATTACAGTAATAGTAATATCTATCTTTATATTCAATTTATTTAGATGTTTCTGGACGATATATATTAAAGTGTTAGAAATGCCTATCACTATATTCAATTTATTTAGATCTTTCTCGACCATATATATTACAGTAATAGTAATACCTATCATTATATTCTATTTATTTAGATGTTTCTGGACGATATATATTACAGTAATGGCAATAACTATCATTCTATTCAAATTATTTAGATGTTTCTGGACGATATATAATAAAGTGATAGAAATACCTTTTATTATATTCTAAATTTTTTAGATGTTCCTGGACGATGTTGGAGTAGTAGTTGCGATGATATCTATCACAGTGTTAGCAATTGTAGTTGTTATACTTAAAGTTCTACTATTCGACAGTGTAAGTGTTCACAACCCATGTACAATATTTAAAGTGTGTTTCACTAAACATAATAATTTATGAATAATAACATCAATCTATTTATATACTTTGCTTTTTTGTCAAAACAGATAAACCAATCGGGCCCAAATTTTTTATGGGACCTCACACATGAGCCCAGTAGAAGTTTATGGACGGTCAAAATTAAATTTTGCATATAAAAAAGCCCAGTATTACAATAATTAAAACATTTTCTTGTTTAATTTACAATATCTTTACAAGTTTTAAATATTTTTTTTTTAAATTATGAGCCCAAATTGTATTTCGCATCAAAATAAATGAGTCTTTGCCACAAACTCAAATTTTTTAATCACTATATCTTGGCAACCTTATGGTGTAGACTCTTGATATTTAAAACTTTTCTGATCTAACAGAATTCAAAGTTTAAAATATCTGATTAATGTATAAGACTTTGGGTTGCCAAGATATAAGGATTAGAAAATCATGGTTTGCGGCAAAGTAACACCAAAAGTCTATTAATTCGATTGGCATTTAAAACACAACTAATTCAATCTCTAGAAGACGATTTGACATTACACATTTATCATGTTTAATGAAGTTTACTGAATAATGTATTTTGTGTTCTTTAAAAATGTTTTTGAATTGAACGTCAATACTTACACTTTTTCAAATAACAGGATTGCCATATTACAAAGGATCAGGCGGATCGGGTCTTTCAAATAACAGGATTGCCATATTACAAAGGATCAGGCGGATCGGGTTTTTCAAATTTTCAATATTCGCAAAATTCGAACCCAATTTCTCGAAAATGTTTTGATAAAATGCGTCGAAAATACAACGATATTCGCGAATATTGTTGTAGAAAACCTTTCAAACAATTTTCGCGAATTTCGATTTCCGGGAAATTTCGTCTGATTCCTGTTGCGAGTTGTAGAAGTTGTTTTTCATTGCATGTCAAACCTATTTTTAAGTCCAAATTTTACCAAACTGAACCCTCAGTTCAACATAGAGTTTCAGATCATCATTAAAGTCTCATTTTGTTGGCAATATTGTAGATAGATATTTAATATATTTTAATAATACTACTTTTCTTACAAAATTTAAAATATTTCCCTACTTCAGACTGGGCCAGGAGAGTTAGGAACATTTAAACCTTTGCCTCAGATGCAGAACTCTATAATCAAGTATACAGCTAATGGATATATTCCATGCAAAGGGTAAGTACAATATTAGTTTATGTCCATAGGTCCATCGAATGCAATGCAACCCACTTTCATAGATTTCATGATTAAAGAAAACATTTATATATATATATATGTTTATAAAGGTCTACAAGGGTGATCTAAATAGAAAAAATCCGGTTAAAATTATCTTTTTCAGTAATACGATTACAACATTATTATCGTTTCATAACATGAATGTACCAATTAACATCAATACGATTACAACATTATTATCGCTTCATAACATGAATGTACCAATTAACATCAATACGATTACAACATTATTATCGTTTCATAACATGAATGTACCAATTAACATCAATACGATTACAACATTATTATCGTTTCATAACATGAATGTACCAATTAACATCAATCTTTATCAAGTAGAGATAAAAATAAGAATAAGGGGGGGGGGAATACATTCACAGTGAAGTATTAGGACAGCCGCAAAGTAACATGAATACTAAAAAGTACATGCTCTCTCAGACCCGACCTTCTCCATTTATGGAGTGGCATGGTGGATTGACTACGGTACCCCTGAACAAGAATGCAAAAACTTTGAAACTTGTTTTTAATTGTGGATCTTCTACAATACGACCTGCTTCGTAGTCAGAATCTATAAAAAGAATTAGCACTTAATAAACTGAACAAAAACGAGGAAATATTCTATATTATTGATTAGGAAATGTTTTTAAAGGTACTGTTGTAAATCGGATATGCAACTCTTACAGGGGTCAATATAATTCCCAAAAAAGCTGATTTTCTCGATCCCAAAATAATTTTTTGCCCCCAATTTTGAAAAAAAATGCCCCCAATTTTAAAAAAATATGCCCCCAGTTAAAATTTTTTTTTCAAATTCCACTAACACATTTGCCCCAATGCCCCCAATTTTGAAAAAAAATGCCCCCAATTTTTGAAAAAAATGCCCCCAGTTAAAAATTTTTTTTCAAATTCCACTAACACATTTGCCCCATTGCCCCCAATTTTTTTTAAAAATGCCCCCAATTTTTAAAAAAAATACCCCCAGATAAAATTTTTTTTTCAAATTCCACTCACACATTAGCCCCAATGCCCCCAATTTTTAAATAAAATGCCCCCAATTTTTAAAAAAAAACTCACACATTTGCCCAATTGCCCCCAATTTTTTTTAAAATGCCCCCAATTTTTAAAAAAAATGCCCCCAATTTTTTTTTAATTATCATATAAAAAAAATTTGCCCCCATTTCTTTCAAATTTGTCAATCCCAAATGGGATTGAAAAGGGAATTATATTGACCCCTGAACTCTTATAGTTACAACGACATAAACTATCTTCAATATCAGGCCAATAGATATAAAAATTTGCGAAAATTACCTCTCTTCCTCTTTGTCTGAACTAATAAAAATACAGTCGTATATTAATCAATTTGCAATCAAGACAACTTTTGATTTAAATGTTTGATTTCTACTAAGCTTTCAAACAGCATGGATACACATAAACATGGAAACAAAGAGAAGGTTATCTTTGTTTACTTGTAAACGTATAATTTAAATCAAAATTTAAATAGAAATTTCGTCTTCATTGTGTTGATAAAAACGCAGACCACTATATATTTCTAACATTTCAGATATGTTCCTTGCCCTCCAGGAATGGAGGATTGAGAGAAAAGAAGAAGAAAATAATCAAAATATCACCTAAACATTTTGTTCTTTGAATAACACTCCAAATATTCCAACTGTGCGCTTAATATTGCTAAACATGTATATATATGTATCTAATGTATTAATGGAATTAAATTTAAACCTCACTATCTGGCAATTTTCTTTGCAGTTCAACGTTTTTGCCTTCCATGTTTTTTTCCAGAATATCTCTTTTTATTGAGGACCCAAATATTTCTTAAACCCCAATAAACACTAATCAAATTTTCATTTAAAAAATTCCCAAGAAACAAACCAGTATTTTTTCATACATTTTAATTAAAAATTTTGTTATGCTTAGGAAGGGTTTCAAAGGGTTTAAAACAATTCCGACTCATTCTTAACATTTTATTAACATCTAATTGATCTAACTAAGCCTTTAGAGTTTCATTTTAAACGGATCCGGATCAAAGGACCTAATTAGTTGCTATTTAGATATAGTTTTCTAATCCATAAAACTTTGGAATCTCATTTGGACAATTGACATTGCAAACTTTGAATACTAATAGTAAAAGTTTGAAATATCAGAGGTTTACACCATAAGGTTTCAAAGATATGAGAATTATAAAATTTGAGTTTATGGCGAATAATCTATTCCTTTCGTCCCTTATGACCTGTATTCTATGTATGATTTCTGACAGCTTATGTTTTGGTTCTCAATGATCCCGTAAGAGTGTCCGGAAATAATTTTCCGAATGAATGAGTACAGGAAAAGTTGTAAAACCCTGAGATCTCCATTTTCTCTTGAGTATTAGCAGTCTAGTCCCATACTTAACCAGGATTAGAATTTGGCCAGAAACCTCTGTTGAGATTATCCTGATTTCGGGAAATTACTTTCGTTTTAAAAATCCTTCCTAAACGAACACTCAAATTCTACATTGTATAAATAGAAAATCTGGTAAATTCTTAGTTGCACCAGAAACCAGAGACATTTTTTATCAGAATCCAAAATCTAGCATCTCCAGATACCGAGATCTACCGTAGTAACCAGAATACTGTTGAATTATTGTCACCTCTGTTCTTTCTTTCCATGAAAACACGTCAATAAGGATTTTGTAATTTGTATTTATTTCTGAAAAAGGGCCCTGAACATTTTTTTTCATGACTAAATGAAACGAAAAAAGGAAGATGACAATATTTATAATGTTTATGGATACCACCGTTTCTATACCAAAAACCTTATAAGATTTTTTGTTCGTATGAATTGTATCGTAAATCCTGTAAATTTCAATCTTCACGATCAACAGTAAATCAGTACTGCAAATTTTGAATTGTTCATAAAAATCCCTGATAAAGAAATTGAGTCTTTGGAACAATATAAAATATTTAAACCTAAATATCTTTAGAACTCGATGTTGTAAACCTTTGATATTTCAAACTCAGATTATTTGATTTAACAGAATTCATAGTTTGAAATATCTAAGGTCTGCAACATTTGGTTTCAAAGATATAGTGATTAGAAAATCAGATTTGTGACAAAGACTCAATTCCTTTGCTTTAGATTTGATGAAGAGTAGCCTAAACCTTTATATCGTAAATTGAATTTATGTAAAACCAAATTCTATCTAAAATGTTGATAAATATATACAAAACTGTCAATTTTCAAACAAATATGTCACAAATGTCAAAATTATGTGTTTAGCCAGCAAATATGTAACATTGAGATGTAGAATTAGATGCTTTAAAAAAATGACAACTGATCAAATTTGCCTAATTAACCTTTCAGAAAGAAAATTTTAAAATTTAAGAACAGTTCTTGAAATTGGCAAGAATTGCACATTCTACAGTTTCGCGGCTTGAGCGCTTTAGCTTTTTGTGTATTGTAAAGGTCTAATCATTAGTTTTGGATTCTTTGGACCCAGAAAAAAATTTAACCCTCAAAATTTCAAACAATTCTACCGGCAAATAAAGCACTAAGAGATATTGTTTGCTTTTAATTCTTCAGATCTTTAGGGCTACCTACAAAGGATGTGAAACAACAATACAGAATCTGATCAGTATTTTCTTAAAATCAGGGTTCCTACAATTCAAGCGTTGAATCATTAATTTGACGAGGTTCTTGTCTTCAATAAAGTCTCATCCTTTGTGGGTAACCCTGTAGACAAAAAATATCAATTATCCAAAAATGCAGCACATCACAGGTTTTCTAATTTAATAAAAATTGTATAAAATCATTGATTTAATTATGTTAAGAGAGTTTCATGAGATGTACAATGATTACACCGATCTTCTTCTTTATAATCAGCTTTTCCAAACTTTAGGAATATTTGGGAAATGTTTGGCATAAGATTGCCAAGCTAGAGAAGGGGTCCAGGGTTGTCCCTCAGGGAAGGGAAGAGGACCTGAATATTGGGTTCGTTTTTGGTTTGTTTTTAACATTAAAGGTTTAATGTTTTTAAAAATTTTCATGAAAATTTAACACGAAATAACATTTCAAATTTGTTTTCTCCATTAGTTTGCTTTCAGGCATCTATTTTTTACTTTTTCAAAGAATGATTAGACACATTTTTCAACACTATTTAACATCAAGAGTAGAAAAATAGTGATAATTGATTAAAAAAATAAATATTCATTATTCGATTTCATTTACTTACTTCCCACAGCCTGAAGAATACCGAATAGACCCCCTAGACCTCCAGTGTTTCCAACAGTTCTATCTACCGAATACCCTCCTAAGAGAAATGCATGTTAAGAGGGAGGTGGATGGTGATTTATGGATTGTATTACATCCGCCAAAAGTTACATTCTCCTACGAAACTTCGGACCTACCCGCACGTGGTTTTCCAGCAGCATCAAGCTGCTGTTGGTTTGATACACAGTAGATCAGATACACTTCATAAAAAAAGTTAGACCACTGTAGGTCGGTTGCACAGCTTTTTTGAGTTGGTTGCACTCTTCTGTATGTCGGATGCACAATATTTGTAGGTTGGAATTTTGATGCACAACATAAGTAGGTCGGATGCACAAATTTAGTAGGTTGGATGCACAACTTTAGTAGGTTGGATGCACAACTTTAGTAGGTTGGATGCACAACTTTAGAAGGTTGGATGCACAACTTTAGTTGATAGGATGGACAACTTTTGTAGGTTGGATCAACTTTTGCAACTTCTTACAAAAGATGTGCATATGACCCTACAAAATGTGTGCATCTGACCTACAAAAGTTGTGCATCCGACCTGTGTGTACAACCGGAACATCGATCCTGATGGTAGAACTGTCAACTACATTATGACTATATCTGCAGTTCCTGCATAGGTCGGATTAACAAAATAGAATGTACATCGAACCTGCAGCTGTTGTATGTCCAAAGTAACATAGGAAGGAAGTACCGTAGGACAGAAGTAACATTACAGATTAATGTTCTATTCCGTATATACTAGCTGAATCATTTTCCCAACTTGGAGATTGTGTAGAACCAAAGTTAGCACTAGCAGTAAACAAACCATAATTTAGTCAACTTTCACCCCATAAAAGTTATGTTTTTGTTATAAAAACTTAGTTAGGTGTGTGTGTAAGGAAATGAGTTTTCTACTGATCATTATTCTATGCTGCTTCTCCTCATATGAATACCAAGTCTATCCAGTGTGATGCCAAATATCAAAGATATTACCCATTAGTATTCTTTGGTACATTCTTCCTAATAAAAAAGTCCATGTTTTGAGGTAGAACATATTTATTAACATACATAAAAGAACAATTGTTTAACTAATGGTTAATCATTGTTGTAAAATAGTCGAACCAATTGTAGTTCTTCTGAGGGTTTCTTAGTCACAGGACACTTGTGTTTCTTCCTGTTTAAACATTTAATGTCATTTAAAAATAAAGAAAAAGTTAAGTAGGATGAATTTTCTGAAAAAAACTTTTGAGATTTAATCATTTCAAAATGTTTTTTTCCTGATATATTTTGTGATGCAAGCGTAACAAAATACAACTCCAGATGAAATTAGGACAGTGTCTCCTCGTCTTTCCTTTCCACATAGGGGGCAGAATCCAGGTACTAATCCAGGTATAGCAGCAGGAGGAGGAATAATTCTAGATCCAACCTTGTGCTCTAATAATCCAATGAACATTAAAGGGAGTGTTTGCGAAAAATGAAAAACAAATTCAGAAAGTTTATATATGACTCAGGTAATAAAAAAATCTATTTAATTTCAAACAAATCATTAAGATATTACAACCAATAGTCATAGATTATTTTTCTAAGCATTGTATAAACGAGTCAATACTAGTCATTTATTGCAACTTTCTGAATTTGAATGGACGCTATGTTCTTCAATTTAAGTCGTTTTTAACAATTTTCTCCTTATAGACACAACAGATAGAATTAAGATTAGTAGCAATCAAAAGCGATTATTTTTCGCCATAAGCATATACCCATCCCCCTTTAAATGACTAAGAAGATTAAAATATAATGAAAGGGAAACTAAAAATAATTTTAAGTGACCCTTCATGCAAAGAAAGAAATGCCTGATTTAAAAAATGTACCCTCTAAACCTTTATCTGATAATAATGCACAGTATATAATTATATTGTAGTTTTTCTAGATTTAAAGTGTTAAATTCCTATAAGTCACTTCTTAAGAGAAACCGTTGTTGAAAATGATCAGTTTTCAAAATTAAAAACATTAATATCTAATTCATAAACAAGACGTAGCTTCTCAGCATGCCATTGTGAATAATTTTTGCAAATATGAAATTTGAAAACATGCTTACAGTCCCTTTAAGATTTGAATTTCCATGAATTGAAATATTTCCTGTTAGGGTTTTATTGTACCAGTGCTCTACAACTTGAAGAAAGAAACTGCCCATTTCAAGCCCTTAGTGAAAAGTTATCTTCCATTACCACCATCTCTTAGTGTTCTATGCAGTGTAGTTAAAATGATGAACAAATCTATCAATGTTATAAAAATAAAAAAGGATTTGGTTTCTAAAAGAAAATACTATCATGCAAAATAGTAAAGCTTTTCTTGTGAACCATGGCTCAAGAGTAAATACAGAAAAAACAAAATAAAAAAATAGGTGAGAGTATTCAAGCTCCAATTTTCAAAGCTTGATGTTTTGAACAAAATTTTATTCTTCTAAAACTAGGCTTGCCAAGGAAGATATTTTTTCCTAGAGTTATCCCCCTAGCCGACAAAGAAACAAGGTTATAAACTATATGTTTGGCACCTCCCTTCCGGAAGATCCCGTCTTGAATACTGGCACTGTTCTTCTGTGTACTCTTTCTTAGATATATTAGGTTGTATCCAGCTAGAACTGCAACCAGGGAATGATACTTTGATTTTTGAAGGCAGTAGCTCATCAGTATACCTGATAAACAAATAAATTAAACTTAGAATATCATCCTTAATAAATAAATTTATTATTAATTTTACCTAAGTTAGAAATCTCCCAAATACAATGAAAATAGGGAAATATTTGAAGAAATAGTGATCTTAATAAATTTAGTAAGTTTGTTTCATATCGGAATCCATCACCTTCATCCTCTCTAGTTAACTTTGAAATTAATAAATGTATCTTGGACAAGTTAAAATTTAAATTTAAATTTTATGTGAAGAATAAAGTTTGTAAAAACCTTTAATAGAGATGATATTAATCAATCATAACTCAAAATTCATAACAATAACTTTAGAATTTAAACTTTTTGAAATTTTAAGGAGTTCTTGTAAAGGACCATAGTAAATTTAAGATTTTTACAAAAAATTGGCCTTGGTCAATGACCAGTCCCATGTTCAAATAATGTGATTTCAATCCTGAGTTTTTCAAACAGTCTCTGTAATTTTCTTTGAACATAAGGTAGTAGAACTAGACAAATATATGATGGCTTAAGTGGTAATTTCTGGGATAGAACTGGGTCTCTTTCTGAAAAATAGAAATTTTAAAGTTAAGACTAATGAAAATATTTAATTTAGTTGTCAAATTGTTTTGAAAAAAATAGACAAAATCAACATTTTGACTTTACCTAGAAAATTTCTTATATCTTTTTAATGATTTTTTATTCAATTTTATCATTGAAAATCCCTATGAGATGCCAGAATGGGTTTGCAATTCTATTGCTTACCTAATCCATAAAAATTTTCAGAAAATGATCCAGAGAACAGTTTTAGATAGTGAAGTTGAAGGGTTGAATTCAGAAGAAGGAATATTTCATCTCTAAAATTAACTTTATGAACTTTAAAGCAAGGATAAAATTCAACTTTATGAACTTTACAACAAGGTTAAAAATTAACTTTATGAACTTTACAATATGCATAAAAATTAACTTTATGAACTTTAAAGCAAGGATAAAATTCAACTTTATGAACTTTACAACAAGGTTAAAAATTTATCGTCAACAGAAAATCAAACAAATCTTAAAAAAAAAAATTTATACAGTGATATTCAGAAATACCTGGAATTAATTTATAACTAATTAGTCTCTACAAACAAATATGACAAATATGATTGATAAAACGATCATACAAAATAGCCCTAGCCCTGTCAATTCCAAAATGTGGTCTGCCATAAAGTACATTTAAAATTAACAGAAATATATATTTAAAATATTAATTCTGGGTCTTTCTGGTTCTGACTGAAAGAAAGCACATGAAAGAAAAATGCCCATGATATGATATCCATTGCATTCTAATTGCAGGCCATATTTCTGCTTTTAGTAATTTAACACAAATGTATAATATTTTGCCTTCAAATTTTACAATTTTTCCAGTAGATTCACTGCATATTTGTTTTTTTTTATTTTTCTGATCTTAAAAAAATATATATTTACCTAAATCTATTAATAAATGAAAGATACTGTGGACTGCAGCCAGCTATAACTGAAGCAATTTGATCAAATGCTGGTTTAAGTGTGTTTATCAAACTCTCCTGTGCCACCACCTCAAACACAGAAGGGTTTACTGACTCTACAAAAGCTGAAGTAAGAAACGCTCCTGGAGTTGACATTTTAATCTGGAATATCTGAAAATATTGAAAAGGATCTGATAATTTTGTAAAAAAAAATCATAATGTCTGTTTAAAAAACCATATTTATTTTGGATATTATTCACCTTAATTTTACGTTGTTTGTATTTCGTCAAGGGAATTATGATAATAATCATAATTATTTCATTCAAGATTTGGATATAGATTATAACATATTGTTATGCTTAACCACACACAATTCATAATTGTTTAAGTAACTTTTTAAAAGACCCCCCAACATCTTTTAATTCATGATCTAATTACTAAGCACAACAATAAAATGTTTTTAGCATTTATATCATTTTGTTATAAAGTCATTAAACCAGTTATTGTGGGACAACAAATTTGGTGTTGGGACATTTCAAAAGATGGAACATTTTATGGATAGGACATTTCATGGATAAGACATTTCATGGACAGGACATTTTATGGATATGACATTTAATTTATGAAGGGTTTCACTGTATAACATTAAATACAGCAGCAAAGATATTTTAAACATTGTCAGAATAAAATTCCTCACTCACTATTTAACTAGTTTTAATTCATGTTTTTAAGCAGTTTTAATAGAGTGCAGTTGAATATGAACAAACCCAATCCTCCTCTAGCTTCCTATAGTTCTACTGTTATAAACCAAAAATTAACATTATTGCTGTATAAACTTGAATTCTCAGGTAGACCACAGTATACTGCAGCCGATTATCTAGGGTTTATTGTATACACATTCAACTGATTAGAAACAGGTTTAACAGAACTCATTTCATTCTTCAAACTATGTAGAGGATTTTAAGGTGGATTTACGAGATTGTGTTAGGGTAACAACTATTTGTCATCGAGAAATAAAATGTACAAAAGTCAGTTTTTTTTAAGATACGGCCTGTATCCCACGTACAAAACTTGACATTAGCAAGACGACTGGAAGGTCGTCTTTAGTCTTTGAAATAATTATACCCGTTAATCTAATCTGATTCTAATAATAATAGGATTTCCAAAATGTGGTTTGGCATTTTTGTGTTTTCAATATTACCGGAGACATGAAGAATTTTGTTCAAATTTCAACAATTATGGTTTTATTTTATAAAATTGAAATCTGAAGGAAATTCTTATTATCTCTAGTAATATTGACAGAAAAAACGGGCAGACTACATATAGGAAATGGCAGGACCAGGGGAATTTTGTAATTATTGTTTCAAGAATCAAACATTTAAAGCAGGTTGAAGAAAGAATGCTGAAAATTATTTCAAAGATCATAGACCACCTTTAAGTTGTCTTGCCTCTGTCAGGTTTCGTTGGACACCCTGTACATAAATACGTTCAAAAAGTTTGTCTCCCTTTTTAATCTAATAAAGAAATATTCTCTGCTAGAGCTATAAATGTTCAAGATATTGACAAACTAAAGACTTGTTTGGACTGTGCATATGCAGAAGAGATCTTAATATTTTTGAAGCAACCTGTATTGCATTCTTGGTTGGACTAGACAAGGTTTCAGATATATACCTGCCAACCAGGGGTAAAAATTCTTCCAAAATACCATGGAATGTATCCATGGTACAAGAAGAATTATGTTTATGTAGAGATTTTTTTCCCTACGCATATAGTATTCCTTTTTAAGTAAAGATTTATTTGAGTTGTTTTTAAGTTAGTCCTGGCAAGGCTCGCTTTGTAGTAACCCGTATCATCTGAACTATTAGTACGTTCCTGAAGCTGAATATGTGGATAGAATGAGTGTGAATAAAGAAAATACAACTCTATGTTTCATTTACATACAGTGAGCTTTTTAGAGTGTGCCGACTCTAACAAGACTTTATCTAATTTCTGCGCAAAACACGAAGGGTTGGCTTAAGTTTCTATTTCTTGTTTTTTTTTAAGTAAGATAGAAAATCAAGATTAAATGAATTTGCTTTTTTAAAATATTTTGTTATTTACTAAATCTAGTATCTAGTATCTATAAAATATTCTAAATATTCGGATAAAAAAATAAATAATAACCAACTGCCCAACAAATTAAAAATGGAGAACATATTATTTTATTCAGTAAACAAGTCCTACTTTTTATAATTCTATTTTTTGCAATGAACAACAGGTTTTTTCAACAGGTTTTCATAGCAATAATCATGTTATTTCTGAATGTATCTATTAAATAATAACCAAAAAACAGTGGAATAAAAGCAATAGTCATGCATCTATTAAATAATAACCAAAAAACAGTGGAATAAAAGCAATAATCATGCATCTATTAAATAATAACCAAAAAACAGTGGAATAAAAGCAATAGTCATGCATCTATTAAATAATAACCAAAAAACAGTGAACTAAAATCAATAATCATGCATCTATTAAATAATAACCAAAAAACAGTGGAATAAAAGCAATAATTATGCATCTATTAAATAATAACCAAAAAACAGTGGAATAAAAGCAATAATCATGCATCTATTAAATAATAACCAAAAAACAGTGGAATAAAAGCAATAATCATGCATCTATTAAATAATAACCAAAAAACAGTGGAATAAAAGCAATAATCATGCGTCTATTAAATAATAACCAAAAAACAGTGGAATAAAAGTGTGTTCTCCCTTTTTTGAGAAATCTTGCTTAGATAAAAAAATATTATTTAAGAAACGTTTGGAGCTCGCAATCACAAAATAGAAAAATCCTATAAACGAAATTAAATTTAAAAAAAAAACATTACAATGCTTAGAGCAGGTTGAATCATGTGATTCACCAATTGATGTGGGACACCCTGTAAGTAAAAAGGGTCTATTTACACTGTACAATTGCTATGTCTAATGTTCTTTGAACTAGTTTAAATCCTAGCTTGAGTTTAAAAGTCGTCTTCCTATTTCAGAGTTTTCTGGTTATCACTGTAGAAATGTATGTATGATGTGTATGTGTGTTAAAAATATTTTCATATCTCATTATAAATTCTTGTTAGATACTGTGTTGAGTTTGTTCTATTGAAAATGACTGAGGAATCTGAGAGAATAGAATTAGCGTACATCACCACTCTATCTATATATAAATTTGGCTTGTCTGTTTGTCTGTCTGTCTGTTTGTATCCAATAAACGTCAAAACGGCTGAATCGATCGGGCCCAAATTTTTTTTGGGACATCTAGGGACCCCAGGGAAGGTTTATGAATGATTAAAATTTTAAAAATTTGTCTCCATCAAAATTCGATCTTCATTAAATTTTTTAAAACTTTGAAAATCCACGAAATTTTTTGTGAAAATCCGCGAATTATTTTTGTTTTGTTTTACGATGTACACAAAGAGAACATGTTCACAATTAATTTAGAAGATGGGCGCGAAGCGCCCTCTAAGGCTAGAAAGAAGGGTGCGCCTTGAATTTCTAGTATACTATGACCTCGTTGGATTTTTCCTCCTCGGTTAACTATACTGCTGTTCGCTTCTAAATGTTCATGAAAAAAATCATAAAAACTTTTCTACAGTCTGCAGAATTATAGGTTGATATATTACGGGAGTTGTACGTTTTTACTTTTAAACAGAATGGACAAATCGTTTTGCGCAAATTTATATTTCGCCGCAAATTCTGCATTTTTTGCACTTATAATTTCCCGCAAATCAGGGTGCGCAAGAAGATATGCGGACTGCGCTAAATGATTTTAACGCGAATTCGGCGAAAAAAAATGTACTCATTTCTTACCTGTAAACTTGTAGCATTGACCCTCTTCGTTAAAGCTCATGCTGAGAACCTGGGGTGGAGATACAATAGTCTTTCCTAAATAGTACATTTCAGTATATAAACAAGAGCGTATGAAGATGGTGTGAGGGGGGGGGGGGAGACTCCAAAAAGAAAATGAAACGTCAACGCTCTTTATCAACTAGAATATCAAAGTCTGGAATTTGGATTATGTACGGTGTGTTTCACGAGACAGGACAGTTGGTGAATAGTTTTCAATGTCTTCTTCCATAACTTATTACGTTGTTTGATACGTCAAACATAATAATAAAAATGTTTTATGGGAGTCACTCACATTATAGTAAAATTTATTTCAAAGGAAAATAAGCGATTTTTTTACCGAAAGAAACTTTAAAAAGTTTTTTTAAATCTAATGCATTATATGGAAGAAGACATTCAAAACTATCCACCTTAAGTTGCATTGTTTGTGGGACACAATCTTTAAGATTTACATTTTATACTTTAGACCCATAACAATTGCAGAATTTTTCTAAAAACACTGTTAAGGCTGCATTTTTATGTCGTCTTCCGTTTAGTTTAGATTTTACTTTTATCGTTTCAAACTGCCGAGAAATCAAACTTAAAAATTCTATTTCAGACTCGTGTCAGTAGGAATGCAGAATTAAATCACGCTTGTTTTGCCTTTTTAATTTTTTTTAAATGAATTATTTACCTGTTGGTTTTATGACTTGATGTCCGAATATCAGATCTCCTGTGTGCTTTAGAACAGATCTACAAAAGGAAAAAAGTTGAATATCTAATTAATTAATTTCTGTTCTCGTAAATAATCATTTTAAAATATGGCTCATCGATGTTAGTTTGAGAATTTTGAATTTTATAGATAATGCCATGCAACAAGAATATAAGACAAGTGTGTTTAACTAAAAGTACTGTAATTAAGTTTTAAGATTATAAATAATACAGGGTGTCCCCTATCAATTCGGACTAATAAAGAGATCGTTTTCCATAAAAGACGATATTCTTTGGAGATGCGCTTACTAAGTTTTCAAAATATCTATCTATCTCATCTGGATTTCATTTGGTACAAAAGTACAAAGTTACTGTTTTAATATGTTACTTCTGTAGAATTGTTACCCAATTTCAATATTTACAGTTTTCATTTTTGTGATTAAACCAGTTTTGATGTTTTCACTTTGAATAAAATGTTGATCCAATTTCCTAATCAGAATAAGAATTTAATTGCTAAACAGTTTCAGAATAGCTTTCAAGATCTTACACCAGAAATCAAAGCTGGATTCTTAGTTGTTCAAAAGTAAGCGCACAATGTTTAAATTTGTGAGAATCTCCATGTTGAACCAGAGCTGGGAACTTAAGAAAATACAGAATGAGTTTAAGTGGGTTACTTCCTTAGGGGATATTCCGATCTTTCTTGGGTCATACAAACTGTGAGGAATAGGGAACCAATAAGAGAATATCCCTGCAAGGGTTGAATGAGTTCATTAAAAGTTCCAAGCTCATGTCAAGAAAAGTCTAATCATGTTTGATTTGTGACCATTATCAACAATTGTTGAGTTAAACTTACACAATACATTCTGAAATTTTTTAAAAGTTTTTTTGTAAAATGGGTCAGTGCAGACATTTAAAAAATTATAAATCGTTATGGTGGTCGATTTTTAATTTCTTTCGAACCATATTTATTTGGGTGTCTAAAGATGCTCCTCAAACCACTGAATATTGCCCATTTGTTTTATTTTTACATTTTGAAAATTCTTTTCTCGAGAGCCAAAAAAAACATGTTTCTTGAGAGGACTCTGGAAAATTTCTGCTGAGAAGTCCGTGTTGTGCCTTTATTTCTAACCAATTTTTTCATCTTAATATTTTAAGTTCAGTGTTTCAAGACGGATTTTTTGGTACCCATATCGGCGTAATTTGAAGAAAAAAGTATTTTCAGTTGCACTAGTGAACTGATTTCTTATTGAAGAAACTTTTTTTAAAAGAGATTTTTTTGTCCCCAGGACATGATCGGGTTGTTACGATCAAATCTCGGAATTTTTTCTATTGCGAAAGTTTGGTGTTTTCTGGGTTTTTATATTGATCTACCAGGGGTTGTAATCTGGCAGCACATTCATCCATCCACGCTTCATTCATTCTGAGATCAATCTAGTGCAACAGTTAGTGTGTCCCCAGGAGACAATTTCTTTTTATAAACATGAAGGCCACGGATGAAAGTGTCCTGCTTGAGGGTCCCCATGTTTATGTTAAATAAATGTGACATGTTAATTATTGTCTGCTAGAGTTCTAAGCTACAAGTTTCAGAGTTTTATCTATAATGACGATGGATAAATTAATATCGTCGTCCAAAAAACGAGCCCGTTAATTAGTCCGATTTGATATGGGACACCCTGTATATCATGATTCATTCAGTTAGGAATATTTAACACAATTGTAATGGAGCATTTTAAACGCTTTACAGTAACGAGTAAATTGAAATAAATGTCGTCTTCAAGTATGTACAGTATTTTAAAATCAAAAAGTTTAAACGAATAGAGAAACACACTGGTTTTTAAACATTATATCATCCTAGAATACATTTGAAGAAATCCTATCGTCTAAACAGAAAATGACAATAGAAATTGCAAATAAAGAAGTTTTTTCAGGAACTTTTATGACGGGTTGGGAACCTTTCAGCCTGAGGTCAAACATGTTGTGTGAATTATCGTTAATCTTGTAAAGCTTGATCTTGAAATCCAATGTGGGGACTCTTACACTTCAGGATCAATGCGCTCATTTATAGTTATCCTCGCAGAATATGACCCTCGGGGGATATTGAAGAGGAATTAAATTAATCCGTAGCTTTGCATAAGATGGAGATCAATTCTTGATCCTGAGCTCTGGTCATATCAAAGATTGCTTAGAGTTTAAATTAAAGATTAAATTAAAGATTTGAACAAGTCTTCAGTCAAGTCATAACACGAAGAAGACATCAACGACTCAGGGTATAGACAATCAACCCTCCATGTTTCACTGTACCTGGAGAAGAACCAGACCCTGTTGGGCTCCATTGGATCCACAGAGAAATTGAAATAATTAGGACTTCCGGTCAAAGAACTAGACATCTTGAAGGAGGAAAATATCTAAAATTTAAAAATATTATAAAATTTGATTTGACCAACCATTTGGATTGATAGATCAATAATTATTCAACCAACTAGTCAATACATTTAATCATTTCCATCAACTATAATAATAAACTAACAAATAAATATGGGTGAATAACCAATTAAATCAATTGGCTTAGCAGCCAATTAAATCAATATGGGTAAATAACGTCAATTAAATCAATTCACTAGGCAACCAATTAAATTAATTGGCTAAGCAACCAATGTAATCAATTGGCTAAATAACCAATGTAATCAATTGGCCAAATAACCAATGTAATCAATTGGCTAAATAACCCATTAAATCAATTGGTTAAATGACCAATTCAATCAATTGTCTAATAAACCAACTCAATCAATTGTCTGATTATTCAACTCAATTTATTGGCTTAATAAACAAATCAATTATTGAATTCGATCAATTGATTAACCAATCTCGTTATTATAGGTTTATCACTCTTATACCAATCAAACGATTTGTTAATAGACCAATCAATTACTAGACAATAAATCAATTCATAGGTTAATCAATCAGTAAATCAATCAATCAATTAATAAATAAATTAATCAATAATTTACCGAATTATATATATATATACCTCGACAAAATCCTTCTTTGACAGCGGACCAACTACAGGAAACACGAAGAGGAAATCATCTGCTAACAGATCTTGTTTATCACAGCCAAACTGTGCCTTTATCACATCCTAGCAGAATAAAACAAATATTTTTAATCACAACTAAACTGTGCCTTGATCACATCCTAACAGAATAAAACAAATATTGTATATCACAACCAAACTGTGCTTTGATCACATCCTAGCAGAATAAAACAAATATTGTATATCACAACCAAACTGTGCCTTGATCACATCCTAGCAGAATAAAACAAATATTTTTTATCACAACTAAACTGTGCCTTGATCACATCCTAGCAGAATAAAACAAATATTTTTAATCACAACTAAAATGTGCCTTGATCACATCCTAACAGAATAAAACAAATATTGTTTATCACAGCCAAACTGTGCCTTGATCACATCCTAGCAGAATAAAACAGATCTTGTTTATCACAGCCAAACTGTGCCTTGATCACATCCTAGCAGAATAAAACAGATCTTGTTTATCACAACCAAACTGTGCCTTGATCACATCCTAGCAGAATAAAACAAATCTTGTTTATCACAACCAAATTATGCCTTGATCACATCCTAGCAGAATAAAACAAATCTTGTTATCACAACCAAATTATGCCTTGATCACATCCTAGCAGAATAAAACAAATCTTGTTATCACAACCAAACTTTTACAGAATAATCAAAATAAAAATAAAACATTTTTCACATAAAAAATAGGATATCTAATTTATTCATGTTGAGAGACGGACATTCCACTCTGTAAATGGAGGTTCTCTTGAAATTTTCTTTTAACAGTCCCTTAAGTATTTGTTCACACATCAACAAAGTTACCCGCAAAGGATGAGGCTTTAAGAACAACCTGAAATACTTACAACAGCTGGATAATACAACAAGACATTCATTTATATGTTCCCAATATCCGGTCAAACAGCTGGATAATACAACAAGACATTCATTTATATGTTCCCAATATCCGGTCAAACAGCTGGATAATACAACAAGACATTCGTTTATATGTTCCCAATATCCGGTCAAACAGCTGGACCTATTGGGCAGACATTTCTTGCGGACACTCATGTGTAGCCTGGGAGTGACATAGGGTAAAAAAATTTGAATTAAAAAAATTCAAAATATTTTTTGTAATAATCTATCGATATGTGACAAAAAACTCATCGTTTGTGAGTAACCCTGTAATAAACTAATTGAAAATTCGAGTTAATATAATTAATAGAATAAGTTTATAACTGAATGCCATCAAACAATCAATCACACGATGTTCTCAAATACTTAAAATCTAATCATAACTCAATAATTGAAAGAAATTTAATAATTTGTAAATAATCAACCTTGCATTTATTGATCAAATCTGATTCCTTGATAGGGAACGGAGAATCTCTTAGAGTTGCTGGCTCGTCAACCATCTCCTAGAAAAGTTTTTTAAATTAAAGGGAATATAAACGTAAAGGGGTTTTAAACGTAAAAAGGGAATGAATGCTAAAGGATTGCTGACTAAGGATTAAGGATTAATTGTGGATTATAAACTTAATATGATTCTTGGATTGGATGAACTTTGAAGGATCTTTCAAGGGCAATTGTTAACCTAATTTTAAAGGAATAAATAACCTGAATTCAAATGTTACTCATAGTTGAAGTTGATTGTTGAACTTTAAAGGCATTAATAGCCTAGTTTAGGGAATAATTAACATACATTTAAAGGGATTAATAGCCTAGTTTAGGGAATAATTAACCTACATTTAAAGGGATTAATAGCCTAGTTTAGGTAATAATTAACCTACATTTAAAGGGATTAATAGCCTAGTTTAGGGAATAATTTACCTAAATTTAAAGGGATTAATAACCTAGTTTAGGGAATAATTCACCTACATTTAAATGAATTAATAGCCTAGTTTAGGGAATAATTAATCTACATTTAAAGAGATTAATAGCCTAGTTTAGAGAATAATTCACCTACATTTAAAGGGATTAATAGCCTAGTTTAGGGAATGATCAATCTACATTTAAATGGAATAATAGCATAGTTTAGGTAATAATTAACCTACTTTTAAAGGGACTAATAGAGCTAGCCTAGTTTAGGAAATAATTAACCTACATTTAAAGGGATTAATAGCCTAGTTTAGGGAATAATTAACCTACATTTAAAGGAATTAATAACCTAGTTTAGGTAATAATTAACCTACATTTAAAGGGATTAGTAGCCTAGTTTAGGTAATAATTAACCTACATTTAACAGGATTTATAGTCTAGTTTAAGTAATGATTAACCTACATTTAAACCTAGTTTAGGTAATAATTAACCTACATTTAAAGGGATTAGTAGCCTAGTTTAGGTAATAATTAACCTACATTTAACAGGATTTATAGTCTAGTTTAAGTAATGATTAACCTACATTTAAAGAGATTAATAGCCTAGTTTAGGTAAAAATTAACCTACATTTAAAGGGATTAATAGCCTAGATTAGGTAATAATTAATCTACATTTAAAGGAATTAATAGCCAAGTTTAGGTAATAATTAATCTACATTTAAAGGAATTTATAATCTAGTTTAGGTAATAATTAACCTACATTTAAAGGGATTAATAGCCTAGTTTAGGTAATAATTAACCTACATTTAAAGGGATTAGTAGCCTAGTTTAGGTAATAATTAACCTACATTTAAAGGGATTAATAGCCTAGTGTAGGTAATAATTAACCTACATTTAAAGGGATTAAAAGCCTAGTTTAGGTAATAATTAACATACATTTAAAGGGATTTATAGTCTAGTTTAGGTAATGATTAACCTACATTTAAAGAGATTAATAGCCTAGTTTAGGTAAAAATTAACCTACATTTAAAGGGATTAATAGCCTAGTTTAGGTAATAATTAACCTACATTTAAAGGGATTAATAGCCTAGTTCAGGGAATAATTAACCTACATTTAAAGGGATTAATAGCCTAGTTTAGGGAATAATTAATCTACATTTAAAGGGATTAATAGCCAAGTTTAGGGAATAATTAACATACATTTAAAGGGATTAATAGCCTAGTTCAGGGAATAATTAACCTACATTTAAAGGGATTTATAGCCTAGATTAGGTAATAATTAATCTACATTTAAAGGAATTAATAGCCGAGTTTAGGTAATAATTAATCTACATTTAAAGGGATTTATAGCCTAGTTTAGGGAATAATTAACCTACATTTAAAGGGATTAATAGCCGAGTTTAGGTAATAATTAATCTACATTTAAAGGGATTATTAGATTATGTCTGAACGGATTGTTAACCTAAAGTTAATATTATGTAACTATGTTAACCTAAACTTTAAATGATTGATAGTTTCATATTATTAGTACACTGCTTAATTATCAGAAACCATAAAGGAAAATAACTATGAGGAAAATCGTTCCTTTCACAGATGAAAATCGTATATAAGAATTAAATCAAATCAAAAATGTCAAAATCTGAAAAAATTTACAAAAATATTACAAAAGAACAATCCATCTAGTTCAATTACTTTTGGCTATTCATTAATTCCGACCTCTGGTTTAAAATAAACAAAGTACAAATTACAAATATAAGTTTTTAGAAATGTGTATACAATTTTTGTTCTTACGTTGTCCTTCTCCTGGTAAATTGGGTCCACTTTTACTCTTGCCTTAGGCAGCTGAAATAAATAATCAATGTTTTAATTTAATAATGAAATTTTTATCTTATCAATTTTTTTAACAGTTAAATAAACTGTTAACTTAGATACTTGCATAAATTGTTAACATTTTCTAAAGGATTCCAATAAGCTATGATATTCATTCAATAAAAATTCTGAAACCAAAGTAATGTCCGGTGACCCTCTAATTAAAAACTGCCATGAAACTTGATTATTATGAATTGTTGATCCTTTATAAAAGTGACTCGCATTTTATGCAAGGGAGTCAAGAATGAAATTATTAAAATTCTACGCATTTTCAGATCAAATATACTTTATAAGACTTTAAAGACTTTATTATCGCATATAAATATGGTATTGTTGTGAATCAGGCATTCAACTCTATAATTAGGGGGTCATTTCCTTACCCCGTGTGGATAAAAATACAGAATTTAAAAAAATTGGGGGGGGGGGTCCTCTGATTGGGGGGGGGGGTTCCTCTGATTTTGTTGTTGAAATTGATTGTATTTAAGTAACCTCTGGCATGATGAAAGTTGCTCCTGTTAACATCTCTACAAACGCAATCAGGTTCCTGGCAACGTACTCCATGAACCTGATGAAGTATGTTACGATTACTCCAACTACTCCACAGTAAGCATGACCCAGGATAATAATCACTTTCCCCAACATACTAATCTGAAAAAATATATTTCAAATAATCCTTAAATGCATTTTAACAATTTAATTTATTATTTGTGGATTTTTTGCTGACGTTTCGTAGATTTGTTGTATCCGATAATGGATAACGGATAACTGATAACTAATAACTGATAACTAGTAACTGATAAAAGATAACTAATTAAGTGATAACTTATAAATATAATAACTAATAACTGATAACTGATTTATAATACTTGAATTCTAAATTTGTTTTATTCTAGTTTATTTGTAATAATTAATGATATTAAAAAGCTGAACCGTCAACCCCTGATAATTAAAAATGGTTAATTTTCTAGAATTGTTAACTGTCTCCTCCTGAACTGCTTTAATATTACTACATATGATGATATGTTGTCAGTTGTACGCGCTCTCAGAATTTTATAACAACTGCCTGCCTCAGTCCTAATGCCTTACGAAAGCAGGCAAGATAACAAGGCTACATAGGAGTGAGAGAATACGATTTCAGAATAAAGGAAGGGAGAAATATTTTGCGATTATACAGTGAGAACCAGAAAACTGTGGAATAGAAAAAGACATTAATTAAATCAATAGATAAGTGTATTTGATTTTGTTACATAGCAAATAGTTTTACTGGACACTTTTTGAAGAAATTGGCCAGTATACTTCTCAAAGTTCCTGTTTATCTTGAATTAATTTGACTATTTTATGCAATATCTTTAAGTTCAAAAGTCGTCTTCTTAAATCAAAGTTTAATGGTTATCACTATATTGGGAAAGGGTGGGGTGAGGGTGTCATATTCACAAGGTTTCTGTATAGGTTTACATGCTTTACAGATCCGTTACACATAATTATTATTATAAACACCAAATAATCAAATTTAAATGTTATATGTTTACTTATTCTGAGTTATGTATCATGCATTATTATTCACTTATTCTGAATTTTGAATCATGCATTATATTATCTACATATTCTGTATTTGATTTATGCAGTAATATTTACTTCTTCTGAATTTTGTATCATGCATTATTATTCACTTATTTTATACTTTGTATCATGCATTATTATTCACTTATTTTATATTTTGTATCATGCATTATTATTCACTTATTCTATATTTTGTATCATGCATTATTATTCACTTATTTTATATTTTGTATCATGCATTATTATTCACTTATTTTATATTTTGTATCATGCATTATTATTCACTTATTCTATATTTTGTATCATGCATTATCATTCACTTATTCTGTATTTTATTTCATGCATTATTATTCACTTATTCTGTATTTTATTTCATGCATTATTATTCACTTATTCTGAACTTTGTATCATGCATTATTATTCACTTAACCTATATTTTGTATCAAGCATTGTTATTCACTTAACCTATACATTTTGTATCATGCATTATTATTCATTTATTCTGAATTTTGTATCATGCATAATTATTCACTTATTCTATATTTTGTATCATGCATTATTATTCACTTAACCTATATTTTGTATCAAGCATTGTTATTCACTTAACCTATATATTTTGTATCAAGCATTAATGTTCAGTGTAAATTATCCAAAAATATATCTTTAATTTGATGTTAAATTAACGTCATTGAACGTTGCAAAAATACAATTTTTGACAGAGAAAAAATTACATCACAATAATGTCATCATATCATGCCATCAAATGTTTAGTGTTTCCATTTCAAATAGTTCACTTTAGTATTTGTAGGCATGACTACCAAGAAAAAAGGTTGTAGTGATGATATTTGATCCTAAAAAGAACAAAAAAAATGAAGAAAAAAAACCCATTAAATACATATTGATAAAAAAGTTATATCAAATGATGTCAAAGTGATGTCATTTAATATATTAGTCATAGGGGTTAGGAGAAAATATCGTTTTCCTTGTTATATTCCTCTTCAGGAGCAAATATTTATTTTATTGTTTTTTAGAATCTCCAGGCCATGATTTGTCTCTGATCCTTGAGGACCATTTTTTCCCTTTGTTTAACCTCGTAGGGGTTTAACTTTGGGAACTTTGTCCCCTTTTGGGAAAATACATTTTTTCATTGTTTCTTGAATCTTCAGGGCATGCTGTATGATGTGATCCTAGTGAAATAATGGCCGGGATCCTTTTGTCCTTTATTTTTCCACAAACATGATGGGGGGGGGGGAAGGAGGTCTCAAACCTCCTAGTATGTCCTCCGCCCTGTCTCGGCCTTGCATCCCCAGGTTGATCAGCTTGGCCAACGTCTTGACCTTTCTGCACAAAGATATCATTATTGTTGGCAATTTGCATGGATGGAGAAAGTAATACTCCTGCCTGGGGTGAGAGTTTGGATACCACTAGACTCTTTAGTCGTTTTTTGTTTGCCGATTAGTGTTGAACTGATATCCAAAGACGGCTAGATGTTACGTTATAGCCTGAATGAACTATCTAAGGGTATACTTGAAAGTGGAGGCATGCCACCATATAGACTTAAAAATGACCGAAAGTAAACGGCGAAGATTGAGTGGAATAGCGAAACATATTTGCACACAAAACTTTATTTACATTTTAATGATATAATTAAGAAATAGGATCTAAATAACACAACATTTGCCTGCGGCCAACATTATTCCATCTGACTATTTATACTTGATGATATCTGGCTTGGTCAGGGTCATAAGATGGATGATCAAACTCCTTTCTGCCTCAGCAATGGAGTACTGTAAGTCCTTTTTCCGGCATGAATTCCTCCCTTGCTCTGCCCTGGCTAACAGTACTGTATTCAGATAAACAAGAAAAGGAAGGGTTCAATATCCTTCAGGGCCTGGCCTGTTGGAACATCAGGCTGCAAAGATACTGAGAGTTCAATAACCTTTGGCGCTTGCCTTGGATTAGATTGTCAGGCCAACGAACATATTCTCGCTTGGGAGCAATAAACTATAATTTATTATTTACAGGGTGTCCCAAAAAAACATGGGAATTCAGTGACGAATTCGATATCGTCTTTGTTATGAATTAGCATTGTAATACCTAATTTCAAAAGCCATAATATCATTATGTCTGCTAGAGTTTATTTTATGAAAAGGGTAAAAGACTGTAAAGATGTGTCTATAATGTCTCCACAAGAACAGTGAAGACGGACAAGTTTACTCTGTTTGTATACTGCAATTTTCTTGTTTTACTAAGTACAGCCGTATGCAGTGAAAACATAAACAAACAAAATGTGTACATAGCAGACGAAACTCTTACAGATTACAGCTTTCTCAGTAGGTATCACTATACTAAATCAAAGAATTATTTAAAAAGACGATATCGAATTCGTCACTGAATTCCCATGTTTATTGGGACACCCTGTACAATACATGTGAAATCCTCTCTGGTTCACACTATATATATAAAATGAAATAGTATTTCAGTAGCACTTTGGTAGAGAATCAAAATCTTAAATAAACGATTTTAGGATTGAAAGGGGGATAACTCCATCATTTTTGATCAAAGGTAGGTATGTTTAAAGGAAACTGTTGTAAATAAGGCATTCAATTCTAGAAATGTAGGGTAACTCTGACACATTTTTTTGTTCTTTGCTTAGTTCTCATTCCCTGTCTGGTCACTTAGGCCAAAAAATATTTTTCTTTCAAAAATATATTATTCCCTGTTGCTCTTTTCTATAAATTCTGAACTGTATTTTCTACCTAAACCTAAATCCTGTTTTGAATAAAATGTGAATTTAAATTCTGCCATTTTATCTGGAGTGAGCCGTGTGAACTGTTTATCTGAATATTCTAAAGAAATTGTAAATCAGCAATTTTCTTTTCTAAGATCGATTGTCGATCTATAAAATTCACAAAATAAACCTAAAAATTGAATTCAACAAGGCCATAATTTTTTTTGGGGGGAGGGGGGGTTTTCCCCCCCCCCTCCTCTGTATACCCTATCCCCCCCCCAGCAAAAACGTTTTGCCTCATAGAATTTCAAAATCATTTTTTTATTTTTGTTATCTTCTATATTGATGAAAAGGGCTATAAAGAAACTAAATATTTGTCTAAAAGTTTGATTTATTTAACATAACGGTGTAGACATCTAGTCTCAATATATGAAGTTTGAACCATCATAGATTTGCAACATCAGGTTTCAAAGATATGTTGATTTAAATATTTGATTTTGAGGTAAGTATTCAGTCCATCTGCGAGTAAAGTATAAATGTTTTATTTTGATTTTAACTAAATTATACTTTAATTACTTCTTATTAAGACTAGGGCGTTTTCGATATTAGATGTTTAAACTGGAATACTTCAAGGAACGAAGACGATATAAAAGTCGTCACTAAATTCCCATGTTTATTGGGACACCCTGTGCAATATGCATCTAGCTATTACTAATCTCGAACTTTAATATTGCATTGACATGAAAACAGATCTAGTTTTTGCTGGTGTAAAATTGTAGAGTAAACCAGTATAATTTCCATGTTATAATAAAGTATTCTCTTTCAAGTATGTTCAATGTTCAATGTTTAATGTAGCCTCAATAGTTTAATTACTTTACATTCAATATAGAAGGTTGGGGAGAGGGGTTGAAGGTTCAAGAGTCCGCTGGTATTAACAGGGGTGAAGGGAATGCAAAGATGACAATTCCTGATTTACAACGGTACCCTTGAAACCTTTATCTGATCAATAATCTTGAAGAAATCGTCGATTTTCTTTGTTTAAAAGTGTTTAATTCTGATAATTTTAGAAATGGGAAATCCCTTTTTTAATCAATTTTCAAAATGATAAGTATTGATATCTAATTCATACTTGATCAGACAAAGCTTTTAAGGATACCATTGTATTTCGGGCATTGCCATCTTAGCATGAAGTGTTTCCATACTTGAAATTACGCATACAATCCCTTTAAGGGGGTCACTAAAACTATTTAACTATTTAAATGTCGAGTTCTCAGTTTCTTAAGATCATATTGTTAGAGGACTAATCTTGAATTGAAGGAGATGATTTTGAAGATTGAAAAATCACTAAATATTGAAAAACCGTTTGGTAACATTATCT